GCACAATCAGCTTGTAACACTCCAAAGAGAAAGGAAAACTTGAAATCGCATCATATGACCCCTTTAAATATAAATAGCTGTACAAAGTTTTATTCTATCTTTTGTGGTTAAAAGTTCTTATGTGAAGGAAAAGCAGCCAACAAGTAGCCTACTCAACACCTCTGGGAAGTCCTTTAAGATTGTTGGAAAACCATTCCAGGTGACTAGCCTACCTCAGGAGGCTGAGTGAGAGAACGCCAGGAGAGCCATCAAAGTAACAGGTGGCTACTTTGAAGAATCGAAAATATAAAACATATTCAGTGTTATTTAACAAGTTTGGTTGACTAGGCATAATTCCATATTTGTTCCGCTATAACTGTCTTCAGTATTTACATAGTGTTGAAAATAATAAAAATAAAGAAAACCCACTGAAGGACAAGGTGTATCCAAACTTTTGACTGGGACAGACAGACAAACAGAAAGACAGACTGATTTGATTTTTTAAAGGCATAGCTATATCCAGAAATATAAAAATTGTATTTAACTTGAATATTAAAATATTACAATGCTCATCACACATCAAAATGATTTTATTAGCTGAGTGATGCTGGTCATTGATTTCAGTGCCTGTGCATTTTATGTGTAGCCTTTTACTAGTATCTTCACATCTTTGAATTATATCTGACCATACTGCCATGCACTTATCTAATACATCTGACTCTTGTGCTTCTTCAGTGTTTCGACCAGCAGGGTTATACAAAAACTGCAATGCATGTTAAAGATGCACTTGATGGGTCACTTACAGCTTATTAACTCACAAATGATACGCTTGAGGGGAAATGACCTAAAGTCTGACTGAAATCATTCACCTTGCTATAGCTAGACTATACACACATATCATGACTATTTATGTCAGCACACTTCTGCTCTCACTTTCACTTCACATCAAACTGAATCTTAAAACAGAAGCAGTGTGACTGCACTTCACAACCCATATAAAGAAAACCATTCTTTGTATATACCTGGCTTTGGAATGCTGTCAGAAGCTTTGACAGCTCTGTCTGGTTAATGTTTTAAATGACTAAATATTTATGCAGAAAGCCATAGTGTTTGCCACCCACAGATTCCAGATCACCTACTGGGCAGATGCAGCTTCTTCATGGCCATTGTGGAAAATTATGTCATTTTGTTGGTCTGTAAGCAATCCCATATAAACAATGGCATTCCTCAGTCTGACACTTGTGTTTGAGTGTGGTCCATCACGGGTGAACACACAGGGACGTTCTACACATCCTCTAGCCCTTGCGTGTTTGTTTATTTAATATCCTTGCTTAACTTCATTGCAAAAATCTGATTAATCCTCATGAGTCTGAGTTTGTATATCATTTGGACACGTGGCATTGCTTTTAGTTGGGCAATAAATGAAAAAATAAAGCCTATGTTTAGCCAAACTGCCATTTCTTTTATTTGAACATCACAGTTTAACAAAAACAGGAACACAAAAGGACAAGGCAGGAAGACAGTCCACACAATAGGGTATGGCACACGACAGGAGAACAGGCTGGTCGGGGATGAGGGTAGCTCCAGACTCTGTGGCAAAAGGGGACCAGGTAGCAGCTCAAAGAACTAGACTTGGCCCTGGGGAATGGTAACTCTTGAAGCACCAAAATGTCTGTCAGGTCAGAAGAATCAGTGACCAGGGAGGACTCAGGAAGCAGGGCAGGAACCAACATGACAGACACACACAAAGACAAGACAACAGAACAGGAGAAACAAGAGATAGACAGATCAAAAGTAAAAACTTTTGAGACTATGACTAGGGAGATATAATAAATAAATAAAACTGAAAAAGAGATAAAACACTAGAAATAATTAACTGGAACTTATGAAAACAAAAGGATAACAACAGGAAAAAGCTAGGAATAAATTAGAACTACAAAAAAAAAAAAAAAAAAAAAAAAAAAAAAAAAAAAAAAAAAAGGCAACCTTCCCGAAAACTAGAAAGAAAATTAAAAAAGGACAAAATCAAAAGGTTCAAGAACTAAAATAAAGAACTAAACCACAAAGACTGGAACTATAGACTAGACTAAACACAGGAAATACAAACTAGAATTAACAAGAGGGAAACTAGACTGGATGCAATACACTGAATAGCAAGCTCTAACAAGACTAAAGACACAAGCAAGGAGAATAGACTAAAGACACAAGCAAGGAGAATACACACAAGACACAAACAAAACGAACCAGCAAAAACCAGAGGGAAACGAGCACAATATAAAGGGAGCAGAGCACACGAGGATCAGGTGAACACAATTGGACAAACAAGGACTAAACAAGGGGGTGTGGTGATTGAAAACGAGGAGGCAAGACAAGAGGAGCACATGGCCAACACAAACAAAGACAGCCATGTGCTCAGGCCCAAAATAAACAAAGACAGGACAGACAAGACTGTCAGGGCAGGATCCTGACACAGGACAAATTAGCGTAGTCACAAACAAACAAAGCCATTGATAATCAGGTGAATAGAATCTGCTAACAACACAGGCACAAAATAGGGTTAAGTCATACTTCTTTGGGGCATTAAATAATGGCACAAATAATACCAATAAATTTACTACCGCAAACCTTAGTAAATCACCATGCATGATTCATTTAAATCTCTCCCATCAGTTTTGCACCTGAAAGGGAAACTCCCAACAAATGCATATTTTAAGGTCATAAGGTCAGTCGCAAAAATAACTGTCCACGCCTTTAGTAAATCCCGATGGTAGTTTTTTATTGCCAAGAGGTTTGTGCTGGTGCAAGCCGTTAGTAAATCTGGCAGCAAAAGAACAAAATGACAAACATGATAAAAATATTAATATAAAGAATCATTAAATATGTCCGACTATGGCTTACTTCATGAATATTTCAAAAACACTATACTTGCTATTATACTTGTGGAATAGTCAACATCCACTCAATATACTCTCAGGATGAGTGATGCTATGACTAGATCTAAACCATCTACATCTAAAAAGTCATTGTCAGGCAGTAAGGGCTAATGAAGAACAATACAGAATACAGAATACAGTAATGGGAAAAAATACAGACAATACAGAATATTAAATTTTTTATTCAATATCTGCCCCACTCCCGTCTCATATTAAGAGATTGTTTAGCACAGGTTTACATTCGACAAAGTAATTTGACAATGCTGGATCTATGATTGACAATGAAAAGGAAACAAAACAACAACAAAATACAACATGCATTTAGTCATAAGCCAACACTCTGTTCACTTCTCATGTCAATCAGTTGGCAGTGTAACACAACGCTAAATGAACAGCTTAACAATCTGGATTTCCCAATTAAATAAACACTTTATTATTTAGAACTTCAAATCTTCTATATCCCCACACTGGTTTTTATGACTTTTCCATGGTGTCGAGAAAAAAAAAAAAAATTAACAAATATAATTATGTGGCATATAGCAGCCATCCATATCCACACTAAATGTTACATTTTGGCTGCATATTGGTACGTCGCACATTCACAGGTCTGATTCCACTGTCAGTTTCATTTGAAAGACAAAGCATTAAACCATCATCATCAGTCAGGCTGTTACTTGGGGGAATAATAAAATGGTGTTTTTGCCCTCCGGGTTTATTAGCGTGCAGGTCACTGAAGTGCAGTGTGTTGGAGAAGTGTGTGGCTGGGCATCATTTTAAAGTGCTTCTGATTATCCTTTCAGTTCTAAACTGTTGTACATTCACACTCCAGGGATTCATTCAGTCGTTTTACAGGCCTGTCATTCAGTCTACCTGTCACAAATAACACCAGTTTTTATTTGGTTCTTGCTCCAGAACATTTACAACACTTCCGACTATTTAGCAAGAGACTTGATGATTCCTTTTGGCTAGCAGAAGCACATTTTGAGCAGACACACTTCACATTAAAGAAGAAGCCCTCGAATACCTTCTTTTACCAAACTTTTATAGTTAAAAGCTACACATATTAGGGTAATTTACTTTGACAGATGAACATGTTATGTTGCACAGTATACAACAATATTACATGTTATTTAATGTACAGATTACCCCATCTACACACACTTACATCATTAGCGTAATATTGTAAAAATTCAGTCTGTATAAATAAATCTTTTCTGACTTTCCTTAATATTAGGATGGTTTCCAAAGTCTAGCTTTGATTCTTTATGAAAACTATTTTGCAGTAAGAGACTGAGCTAACCTCATGATTAAAACTTTGGTGCATTAAGAGAGTTAACGAAACACACGCTTGAGGCCAGTCACACAAGATGCGTTCTGGCACACATCTGCACCACTTTTAGTTGTTTTACTATGTAAACATACCCTACACGGACATCTCTGACCACAATCGCTGCGTTTTGCATGTTAAAAACGGTTAAACTATTAAAACATTTCGTTTCATTCCACTACGGATACCTTTTTTGAAAGCAAAAACATGTCCTGTATGAACAGCCCTTCAGTCGTGACAAAGTTTGAGCAGTGTTTTGTTAAATGAACACTATATCCTGATGGAAAAACGTCAAAACTAGTCCCTCCTATATTTCTTCTGTATTCTGTTTGCTAGACCAATGGACGATACTGAAAAGAAAAAGTAAATCTTCAGTAATGAATAATTGAACACAATCATCCAATTTTAAACACTAGGAAGTGTGTGTGCTCAGGGTTAGATTCAAAGGATTGTTGTAATGTGAAAGGCAGAACTGACCTCCCACATCCAAAGCTTCTATAAAAACATACTGCCTCCCTTAATGATCACAGGCCAAACGGAACATTTAGACATTCAGACAGACAACATTGCGGGTTACCACATTATATAAATGTTTAAAGCATCTACAAGGTGAATGTACTGATGTGTGTGCGTGTATATTACATGTGTATGTACTGTATGTTGAAATATATATCTGTGTTTGGAAGAAAGGCACTAGAAAACACTGAAGCTGTACGGGTCCCAGCTTTCAGGAAGGTACAAATCTAAAAAAGATATTCTATTTGGACGACACTTTTTTGGAAAATAAACCTGCGAAATATTTAGAAAAAGTCTTACTCCAGAATTAATAAAATTATTACAAAAAGCTGCTTTTTAAAAAGAAAATCTGTTTCTATAAGTGTTCCAGTTTATTCAATAGAGTTTTGGCAGGTAAATTAACTTTAATGACATACTCCGCCAGACCAAGTCCATCGAGAAGACAGCAAAAAGGCTTAGTTCTCTATCAGACCAAGGCCTGGCCATTTTTAACTATTATAAAGAGCAGCAAATCAAATCCAGTTGTTAGACTCTCTGCTATATACAAATACATACCTGCTAGGGACATTGAAATGCTTCAAATACTACAAAATGATCTGTGTATAAGCGTCACAGTGCTCAACCAGTTTTGCAGGGCTTGACGGGAAGAGTAGTTTCTCTTTTAGAGTCTCATAGAGCTCCAGCCAATCAGGAGCCATGGGTCATGACTCACGCGAGTCCAGCTTACTGTACTTAACCCGGGTGCACGTCATTGTTCGCAACAAGAATGGCAGCTGGTAGTTTCGAGGCACAATGCCACGTACGTTACTCTCAAAGTATTGGAATGGACCAAACCACCACACACGAGAGAACAGGTTTCCAGTGGAAATTTCCTTTAGAGCCTATAGAACAGCAGAGGAGATTAAGATAGGAGAATTAATAGACAAAAAATGTAATGCCACGGTTTTCCAGAAAGAGCTCAAATGCAGATGTTACTGGGTAAAGACAGTTATCCATCAACTGTAGCAAAAAAATTTTTAGCTGCACATCTTCAGAAACCAACTACTGGCTTGAAGAATACAATATAATCAAAGGTCATCAATGTATACTATAGTAAGTATTTATTTTGTTAGTTATATTGTATATTCTTTTTCTTGTCACTACTTGATTTATGTATAAATCGTTGTATAATGTGTATATGTGACCCTGTACCACAAAACCAGTCATAATAATACCAATAAATTTACTACCGCAAACCTTAGTAAATCACCATGCATGATTCATTTAAATCTCTCCCATCAGTTTTGCACCTGAAAGGGAAACTCCCAACAAATGCATATTTTAAGGTCATAAGGTCAGTCGCAAAAATAACTGTCCACGCCTTTAGTAAATCCCGATGGTAGTTTTTTATTGCCAAGAGGTTTGTGCTGGTGCAAGCCGTTAGTAAATCTGGCAGCAAAAGAACAAAATGACAAACATGATAAAAATATTAATATAAAGAATCATTAAATATGTCCGACTATGGCTTACTTCATGAATATTTCAAAAACACTATACTTGCTATTATACTTGTGGAATAGTCAACATCCACTCAATATACTCTCAGGATGAGTGATGCTATGACTAGATCTAAACCATCTACATCTAAAAAGTCATTGTCAGGCAGTAAGGGCTAATGAAGAACAATACAGAATACAGAATACAGTAATGGGAAAAAATACAGACAATACAGAATATTAAATTTTTTATTCAATATCTGCCCCACTCCCGTCTCATATTAAGAGATTGTTTAGCACAGGTTTACATTCGACAAAGTAATTTGACAATGCTGGATCTATGATTGACAATGAAAAGGAAACAAAACAACAACAAAATACAACATGCATTTAGTCATAAGCCAACACTCTGTTCACTTCTCATGTCAATCAGTTGGCAGTGTAACACAACGCTAAATGAACAGCTTAACAATCTGGATTTCCCAATTAAATAAACACTTTATTATTTAGAACTTCAAATCTTCTATATCCCCACACTGGTTTTTATGACTTTTCCATGGTGTCGAGAAAAAAAAAAAAAATTAACAAATATAATTATGTGGCATATAGCAGCCATCCATATCCACACTAAATGTTACATTTTGGCTGCATATTGGTACGTCGCACATTCACAGGTCTGATTCCACTGTCAGTTTCATTTGAAAGACAAAGCATTAAACCATCATCATCAGTCAGGCTGTTACTTGGGGGAATAATAAAATGGTGTTTTTGCCCTCCGGGTTTATTAGCGTGCAGGTCACTGAAGTGCAGTGTGTTGGAGAAGTGTGTGGCTGGGCATCATTTTAAAGTGCTTCTGATTATCCTTTCAGTTCTAAACTGTTGTACATTCACACTCCAGGGATTCATTCAGTCGTTTTACAGGCCTGTCATTCAGTCTACCTGTCACAAATAACACCAGTTTTTATTTGGTTCTTGCTCCAGAACATTTACAACACTTCCGACTATTTAGCAAGAGACTTGATGATTCCTTTTGGCTAGCAGAAGCACATTTTGAGCAGACACACTTCACATTAAAGAAGAAGCCCTCGAATACCTTCTTTTACCAAACTTTTATAGTTAAAAGCTACACATATTAGGGTAATTTACTTTGACAGATGAACATGTTATGTTGCACAGTATACAACAATATTACATGTTATTTAATGTACAGATTACCCCATCTACACACACTTACATCATTAGCGTAATATTGTAAAAATTCAGTCTGTATAAATAAATCTTTTCTGACTTTCCTTAATATTAGGATGGTTTCCAAAGTCTAGCTTTGATTCTTTATGAAAACTATTTTGCAGTAAGAGACTGAGCTAACCTCATGATTAAAACTTTGGTGCATTAAGAGAGTTAACGAAACACACGCTTGAGGCCAGTCACACAAGATGCGTTCTGGCACACATCTGCACCACTTTTAGTTGTTTTACTATGTAAACATACCCTACACGGACATCTCTGACCACAATCGCTGCGTTTTGCATGTTAAAAACGGTTAAACTATTAAAACATTTCGTTTCATTCCACTACGGATACCTTTTTTGAAAGCAAAAACATGTCCTGTATGAACAGCCCTTCAGTCGTGACAAAGTTTGAGCAGTGTTTTGTTAAATGAACACTATATCCTGATGGAAAAACGTCAAAACTAGTCCCTCCTATATTTCTTCTGTATTCTGTTTGCTAGACCAATGGACGATACTGAAAAGAAAAAGTAAATCTTCAGTAATGAATAATTGAACACAATCATCCAATTTTAAACACTAGGAAGTGTGTGTGCTCAGGGTTAGATTCAAAGGATTGTTGTAATGTGAAAGGCAGAACTGACCTCCCACATCCAAAGCTTCTATAAAAACATACTGCCTCCCTTAATGATCACAGGCCAAACGGAACATTTAGACATTCAGACAGACAACATTGCGGGTTACCACATTATATAAATGTTTAAAGCATCTACAAGGTGAATGTACTGATGTGTGTGCGTGTATATTACATGTGTATGTACTGTATGTTGAAATATATATCTGTGTTTGGAAGAAAGGCACTAGAAAACACTGAAGCTGTACGGGTCCCAGCTTTCAGGAAGGTACAAATCTAAAAAAGATATTCTATTTGGACGACACTTTTTTGGAAAATAAACCTGCGAAATATTTAGAAAAAGTCTTACTCCAGAATTAATAAAATTATTACAAAAAGCTGCTTTTTAAAAAGAAAATCTGTTTCTATAAGTGTTCCAGTTTATTCAATAGAGTTTTGGCAGGTAAATTAACTTTAATGACATACTCCGCCAGACCAAGTCCATCGAGAAGACAGCAAAAAGGCTTAGTTCTCTATCAGACCAAGGCCTGGCCATTTTTAACTATTATAAAGAGCAGCAAATCAAATCCAGTTGTTAGACTCTCTGCTATATACAAATACATACCTGCTAGGGACATTGAAATGCTTCAAATACTACAAAATGATCTGTGTATAAGCGTCACAGTGCTCAACCAGTTTTGCAGGGCTTGACGGGAAGAGTAGTTTCTCTTTTAGAGTCTCATAGAGCTCCAGCCAATCAGGAGCCATGGGTCATGACTCACGCGAGTCCAGCTTACTGTACTTAACCCGGGTGCACGTCATTGTTCGCAACAAGAATGGCAGCTGGTAGTTTCGAGGCACAATGCCACGTACGTTACTCTCAAAGTATTGGAATGGACCAAACCACCACACACGAGAGAACAGGTTTCCAGTGGAAATTTCCTTTAGAGCCTATAGAACAGCAGAGGAGATTAAGATAGGAGAATTAATAGACAAAAAATGTAATGCCACGGTTTTCCAGAAAGAGCTCAAATGCAGATGTTACTGGGTAAAGACAGTTATCCATCAACTGTAGCAAAAAAATTTTTAGCTGCACATCTTCAGAAACCAACTACTGGCTTGAAGAATACAATATAATCAAAGGTCATCAATGTATACTATAGTAAGTATTTATTTTGTTAGTTATATTGTATATTCTTTTTCTTGTCACTACTTGATTTATGTATAAATCGTTGTATAATGTGTATATGTGACCCTGTACCACAAAACCAGTCATAAGGGTCAATTTTTCGAAATTGAGATGTATACATCCTCTGAAAGCTGAATAAATAAGCTTTCCATTGATGTATGGTTTGTAAGGATAGGACAATATTTGGCTGAGATACAACTATTTGAAAATCTGGAATCTGAGGGTGCAAAAAAATCAAAATATTGAGAAAATCTCCTTTAAAGTTGTCCAAATGAAGTCCTTAGCAATGCATATTACTAATCAAAAATTAAGTTTTGATATATTTACAGTAGGAAATTTACAAAATATCTTCATGGAACATGACCTTTACTTAATATCCTAATGATTTTTGGCATAAAATAAAAATCAATAATTTTGACCTATACAATGTATTTTTGGCTGTTGCTACAAATATACCCCAGCGACTTAAGACTGGTTTTGTGGTCCAGGGTCACATATGTATCATTATTATTGTATTGTAAATATTGTAATTTTATACAGACATAATATATGTATATATTATATACAGACATAATCATGGCAATAAAGAATTTGAAATTGAAAAACTGAATCGGATTGTTTGAAGAAGTGTAGTGTAATTTATAGCATAAATAAATAAATAAATAAATAAATCTCTTAGAAAATTGTTAATTTATAACTGATTTAATTTAGTACATAAATAAAAATTGAATTTAGACCGCAATGAATATACCTCTGATACCTGAATATAGCTCATATTTGAGACACAGTTACAGCATGATTTTTTTATAAATCTTGTATGAATTATTAAATAAGTACAAGATGCTTAAATTCAGTAAATAAGCAAAGATTTTCTAGTTTTAAACTACAAATGTACCTGCTGATTGGCCATTGTATGGTACCACCAGAAGAGGCGTGTGGTCATGAAGTAGGCCACCACCACGTCTATGGTGTAGTGATCATGAGCCAACAGGATGCAGAAGATACCAACAGCACTCAGGCACCAGCAGATCCAGTGATACCACCAGAACCTCCGTGGAGAATCTGTAAAAAATAAAATAAAAATGATGTATAATAGTTTCCCAGTGCAGGCAGACATACCAAACTCACAGATGTTATCATTGGTTTTAAGTATGTTTGTGTATTATATAATATGTTTTTAATGTATGTGTTATTGCCCATCATGTCCACTAGATGGTAATATCAAACAATCGCAACAACATGTAGAGGCTAAAAATCACATTTTTAAAGCATATTTCGACATGATTGTTAATAAATATGAGTACTCACACTCTTTAATAAAGAGGTATGTTAGTGTCAGCATCACTGTGTGTCCACTGTACAAGTAATCTCCACACAAAGAGTGTGAGCCAGTGATTGACAGGCCACCACCGGCCATCATTTTCATTACTCGCCGTGACTGTGCCTCCCAGTCACCGAAGA